GCAAGGCAAGCGCTCTACCACTGAGCCACCTTCCCAGCCCCTGTCCCTGGGCTTTTCATTCAAGGTTAGCTCTCCCACCTTCAACCTTAATTGGCATTTCCTGCTCACATTGAACCGTGATTCTCAGATCTCAGCCTCCTGAGTAGCTAGGATTACAGGCATGAGCCACCAGCTCACAGCCTCCAAAACTGAATTACATTAGGAAAATGTGATTATCAATGTGACAAGGAATGTGAGCACATCTCATTTGTTTTGGTGTCACCTGCCATACCATAATATAGCCTTGCTACTACTGTATGTACTAAATAAAAGCATTGCAGCTGGGCACCAGTGGCTCACACCTGTCATCCTAGCTACTCAGGAGGCTGAGATCTGAGGATCTCGGTTCAAAGCCAACTGGGCAAGGAAAGTCCGTGAGACTCTTATCTCCAATAAACCACTAGAAAACCAGAAGTGGAGCTGTGGCTCAAGCAGTAGAGCGCTTGTCTTGAGCTGAAGAGCTGAGGGACAGGGCCCAAGCCCAGAGTTCAAGCCCCACAACCAAAAAAAAAAAAAAAGAATAAAAGCATTGCAATGTATACTTGATTTTAGATGCAAAAAATGTGAAAAACCGGGCAGGGTCTGGTGTCATACGCCTGTAATTCCAGCTGTCAGGAGGCTGACACTGGAAGCTCCTCCACTCCAGGTTATGTGGTAAGCCTGTCTAATCCTCACCCCAGCCCCTGCAGAGATACAAGCTCAAAATCCAGCAATGTGGCAACAAGGACACCCCCTAGTGGCACAACACTATAAACTCAAGCGGGAAAAAAGCCGTCCACTAAGCAACTGATGGGGAAAAACACATTTTCCCTCTCAAATTCTGGTGACACCAGATTTGAACTCAGGGCTTCACACTTGCTTGACCTGTTCCGTTAGCTGTTGCTCTACCATCTGATCCATGCCTCTTGCCCAGCTTTTTACTGATTATTTTGGAGATGGAGTCTCAAAAGGTTTTTCAGCCCAGGCTGGCTTCAAATAAGCCACCAGTGACTACCAGCACATTTGCAATTTAATGACTTACTGTGGAGTTGACACAGATTTGGTCCCAGGTATTGGCCCCAAATGTAGAAGTGCTCACTGCGTGGCCTGCCGGGCCCCGCTCCGGTCTGGCACTCGGGGTGTCTTCTCCACGCTCAACCAGGGCAGCCCTGCCTCCATCGGCGACCCCCGCTGCCTCCTGGCCCTCCGTCAGCCTGGCGGCGGCTGTGTCTTCAGCAGGCTCGCGACTCTCTGTCTCCTTTCTCCCCTGGATCTCCTCTGCTTTTCCTCCCACCTCCTCCCCCTGGCACTCTTCAGTGGGCGCCTCTCTGGCTTCGGCAATGCCCGCCCCGGGGTCAGTCAGCTGGCCTTCGGGTTCTGCCGGGGCCGCAGCGCCTGCACCGGCTGCCCCCACACTCTGAGAGCAGCAGGGGGACTCGGCTGTCATCACAGCACTGCCACGACCACCTTCTGGAGCAGAGCAGCTCAGTCCTGTAGCAGCCGGCGCTGTCTCACTGTCCTCATCTGAGGACACTTCCTCAGTCTCCAGGTTCTCCATGCCCAACCTGCCAGAAGCAACAGAAAAGCACCACATGGATGGTTTACCTCGACTCACAACAGGCGGCTGCTTGTCCAGAAATGGACTCACAGGCTCAGGCTATGACACAGAGAGCAGGTGAACTGCAGAGACACCAAGAGCCACAGCATTCAGGGGTGGGGGCTGAGCCTTCCCAAGATCCCACAGGATGCATCTACCTGCCGCTCTCTAACCCGCCTTCCTCCACCCACTGTTCCGCGCTGGGTGATCCCATGTAACCACGATGGATCTCGTATGGTAACATATGCTGAGCGAAGTTAGAGCGGGAAAGACTAAGCCACAGGAGCGAGCATCTCACTGGTGGCCAGCAGCTGCCAGTCTGGAGTGGGGGAAGGAAAGTTCCCAGCCAACACCAGGAACCACTGCCCCACGAAGATGCTGTGAATCTTGACTGGGGGTAATCAATCAAAAACAATACATTTTACTGTATACAAATGACACCTTGATAAGTACAGGCAATGCCAGTACCTTTCTCTCAGGAAAACTTAATTTGCCTTTAGAAAGTACATAGGTCTCCACTGGACTTAAGAACTGAAGTTACAGGACCTATGGCTATTACCTGGCATCCGCAGAGAGGAGGCCAACAAGGAAATAAGATGCATCAGCATGCACCTTTTCTAAAACGTAGCCCAAGGGAGGGGAGATGGCCTAGAGAGGGCCCAGAGCTACCAGCAGGGAGTTATGGTAAGAAAAAGGCCCTGTGTCAGGGCTGGGAAGGCGGCTCAGTGGTAAAGTGCTTACTTCCCATGCATGAGGCCCTAGGTTCAATTCCTCAGCACCACATAAGCAGAAAGCCGGAGGTGGTGCTGTGGCTCAAGTGGTAGAGCGCAGGGACAGCGTCCAGGCCCAGAGTTCAGCCTCATGACAAAAAAGAGAGGGGAGGGGGACTGGCCCTGTTCTTCTCATCCACAGGGCAGAAGCCGTGGCGAAGTCTGACCAAGTGACCAAAAACTTCAGGGCTGAGGGTGCCAAGCCAGAGAAAACACAAGCGCCTGGGACACACAGCTAGACTTTCTCCAGGAATTCCTGAAGAGTTAACACCACATGTAATGAAATGTGATGCCATTTTTACGATGTTCCACTACAAGAAAAAGTGCCCTTCAACTGCTAATGGCATCAGAGTAGAAACCATAATAGAGTTTTCCCACGTGACGATCATTCCATCCCCAAAAGAGCCTGTGCAGACAGCATGGCAGGAGCTGCACCGCGCAAGCGTCGAAGGCGGCCGGGCTAAAAACGGAAGGCACCTACCACAAGCACTTCCTTTTCCTTGCATGGGGTCCAGGGTCTGTGTCTGGTCTTCGGGGCCGTATCCTGGGCTCACCAGTCTCAGCAGATACCAATTTGCTGGAGGCGGCCTGCATACCTAGTCAGAAATTCAACCAGGGTTTCTCCTGTTAGGGCTGAGTTTACAGAAATTAAATATCCAGGCAGTAAAAAGTGCTGCAATCAGAAGTCTGTCTTCAAACTTTTTTTTTTTT